CAACCTAATTGAGATGCAAAAAACGAAAACATGATGTTACGTCATCTGAAAAGCCGATTCGTGCCGATAGCTGATTGGTTGCCGTGAGATGACGTCATTCCTACTTCTGCTATAAGTATCTCGCGTCGCTCTGGCTCAACCCTTCTAGTTCCTGGTTTTCCGGCAAGTAAGTGAGCTGTTTCCAGCCCCTTCAAAAGGATGCATTGCAGTTTCGGGAATGAGTTCCTTGGTTCCGATATCCATAAGATGGTTGGTTCCAGAATAAAGTTCCTTCGGTTCCAGAGATTTCTATCCATGTGAGTGACTGCCGTGGGCGGCATCCATGTTCTTCAATGAAGCATGGCATTTAAAATACGTGAGCGGCGACAACGTTCCTTGTGCAAACGGAGTTAGGCCGATTTTAAGTGCTTTCAAGAACTTCATTTAAAATTTTCAGGTGTTTTCTCAACCATTGATCAGGGACGTTATTGACTGTGTAGCCAAGCTTCATTTTTAGGCCGCATAATTAATGTTTAGGACATTTTTTTGTTTGTATAGAATGCCAGTGTTTTGGAGTACAGGTAAAAATATTTGATGAATGATGATTATATTATATTTTCCTAATACTCTAATATTGTTGACATTATTTTTGTGTTTTTATTCTTTATTATATTTTAATAAATTGGTTAAGTTCAAAATCTTTTATTGTCTTCAATGTCTGCACAACATATCTCAGGGAGCTTTCATTGCTACTACTGCTAAATGTTTAATTTCTTTAAACTTTAAACTTTGCTTTAGCATCATTTTGGTTATGGGCCCAGCTCCTGAGTTATTTTAGTGCAGACTTTTGAAGTTTAAAGTTAATTTAGGACTTAAGAGATTGGGGGGCGATTTTTGTTAAAATTCAAATATGGCTACTGTTAGTGTCGTGCATAATATTGCTAAACTTGATGCATGTATTTATTTTACATGGTCCAAAGATATGAAGTTTGTCTTGAATGAAAAAAATGCATGGCTTTTGGTCAAAGGTATTGAAAAATGTCCTGATTTGGATGATGTTAAGGGTATTGCAAAAGAAATTATTGCCGACTTTCAAAATAGAAGTCTATTGGCATTATCGTTAATTTATATGAATGTATGCCCTGAATATAGAAACTTGATATGTGAAATTTATGACCCAGTAGTGGCATGGAATATGCTTGCCAAATATTTGCAGCCAGATTATCGGTCAAGACATATGTCCCTGTTTTCAGAGTTCTTAAATTGCAAAATTAAGCCAAATGAAAGCCAAATGATAGTTTCTTTTCTTCTAGATTAAAACGTGTAACTGAACAGTTAGCTGATATTAATCAGGCTGTAAGAGACGTATATATATGTTTCCAGTTTCTTAGATTCCTTCCAGATAAATTTGATCAAGTAGTTCAAAATATTTTGAGGTGGCCAGATGAAAAGTTCATTTTTAAAAATGTTGAACTTGAAATTCTAGCAGAGGAAACGCGTCTTAATTTAAGAGAGATAGATAAGGAAAATTCCAATAAGACTATAGAAGTTCAAAGTACTCACTTTGAACCTAAATTTAAGCAGATCAAAGGGCTCAAGTGTTATAAATGTGGCTGTCCAAGTCATATTAAAAAATACTGTATAATGAAAGGTAATTTTTCCAGATCACCCTCGCCTGCTTCTTCTGTTTCCTCAACTGTATCTAGTATAAAACATCCCCTAAGTTAAGAATAAACCCAAGTTGTGTAAAGGTAATAATTCCCATGCTCAGTCCCGTTTTATAGGTCAAGCTAATGTTAACAATTTGGAGGAAAATGATGATAATTGGATTTTCGATACTGCTGCATCTCATCATTTTTGCAAAAATCGTGAATTGTACAATACTTTTTCTCCTGTGAAGAATGAGAATATGCTAGTAGCTGTTGATGAGGTAACTTTTCCAATTCATGGGAAGGGTACTGTTAAAATGAAATTTGGGGATACGGTTTTTTTTGCTTAAAGATGGTTATATTCACCTGAACTGAGACGAAAATTTAATATCTGTACCTAGGGTGGATATCAATGGAGCGAGATTTTATGGTTAAAAATGGGCAAATTAAAGTTACTGATGATGAGAATTCAACTTGTACAAGGCTAAGTTGATAGGAAGTAGTAAGTAACTATATGTTTCCCGAAATAATCAAAAAGGGGGGCAAATCTGTGAAATTTCAGGCATCCACAGTTCAGCATAATAATAGTGAATTATGGCATGGTCGGTTTGGTCATATAAATTATGATACTATTGTCAGAACTAGTGGAGACATTCAGTTCGAGGTCTTCCTGTATTAAAGCACTCACCTAATTTGTTTTATGAACATTGCCAAATTCAATAAGCAAAGACGAATGTCCTATAGACCCTTAGAAGGTATTCAAGTAAAGAGGCCACTGGAAAGGTTTTTTTCTGATGTATGAGGAACTATTAACATTCCAGGTAGAAATAGTGAACGTTATTTCATTTCCTTTATTAACGAATATTCTCGTTATATGGTAGTGTACCCCACTGTAGAGAAAAGTCAGGTATTTGAAATATTTGAAAGGCATATAGCACGTGCTGAAAGATCTTTGAACCTTAGATTGAAATACTTTAGGAGTGACAATGGTTGAGAATATGATAACGATCAATTAGGTCATATTGTAATAAAAATGGTGTAAAGCATGAATTTACAGATGTATATACTCCAGAAAGAATGGGAGTTTGTGAGAGATTTAATCAGAAGCCTAAATAATGTACGTGCAATCTTACACGATAGTGGAATGAGTTCCGAATTTTGGTCAGATGCAGTAATGTATTTTGCATATTCATTTATAGAATCTGTCATAAGGGCCAAGATAGGACCCCATTGAATTATACACTAAGCGGAAACCATCAGTACGTCATTTAAGGCATTTGGAACGATTGTCTTTGTGGGAATTCCAAAGGCTAAAGAAATTCTAAACTTGATCCAAAGGCAACAAGGGCCGATTGATTGGGTACAGTGTACGAACAAAAGGGTAAAGATTTGGTTGGAAAATGAGCAAAGGTAGTAGAAACCCTAAATGCTACTTTTAAAGAGTCGATTGGAATGCAGAAAAGTGGCAGTGGAGCTGCACTGGGCACCCTAACTGATTTGGAATCTGAAGAAAGGGTAGAGAGTTCCAATCCACTGATACTCCAGTTGGCTATTTTCCTGAATAGAGGAAAGAACCGATACCAATATACCTTCTTCTACAATTGGCACTGACACTCAATCTACATTGAGACAAGTAACTTGGCTTCGTAAACCTGTTCCAAGGCCAGACGGCACTCGTACGGATGTGTATTATTTTGAGAGGGGGTGTAATCAAAGAGTACGATCACCAAATGATGTAGAAAGGTATTGCACTGAACATAATATTCAGTATGATCCTACCTTGTTTGATTTCAAATGAAGCAATACTTATAGTGGTGAAATCGACCCAACTGGTACTCCTTCAACGTCGTATACCCGAGATAGCTGACTAGATGTTTCAATTCCAAACACTAATAACCAGGCAATGAAATCTGCAGAAAAGCTTAAATGGATAGAGGCAATGGAAGAGGAAATGGCCAACATGCGAAAGCATAAGGTATGGCATCTTGTTCCATTCCTAAAGACAAGACTCCACTGGGTTTGCAGGTGGATTTTCAACATTAAACGTGACGAATTTGGAAACATTGTTCGTTTTAAAGCTCGTTTAGTGGCTCAGGGTATCGCAAATTAAATACGATACCTATGATGAAACCTACTCTCCTGTAGTCAACTTTTCAGTAATAAGGCTCTTTTTCTCCCTTTTAGTTGCACACCTTGGATGGGCAAATATACAATGTGACGTCAAAAGTGCCTATCTCTATGCTCCTTTATCAGAGGAAATTTACATGTCCCAACCACAGGGTTTTGTGGAGCGAGATAAAGAAACTTTTGTGTGTCGCTTAGATAGAGCCTTGCATGGTTTGCATCAGAGTGGCCGATTATGGTACTATGGTGTGTATTTTTGGTGTTTTTAATTATGGCAAAGCACACTAGGGCTATCTGCATAAGGGGAGGGATGTCTTTCGTGGAGGACTTTCTAAGGGAAACTGGCTCGTATACACGTTACACATGGGGAAAACCACGAAAATGCCCATGCAGCCAGCCCGTTCGCGGGATTCGAACCTTGGACCGAACTGGCAGTGTTCAGCGTCTTTACCGCTCGGCCGCTGGTGGGCCTCTATGGTACTATGAGTTGGATAGAACACTATGTAACCTAGGGTTCATCAAGTTTGAGTGGTGTAATTGTGTCTATCGTTTTAAAGATTTTGTCATTCTGTTGGTTTATGTTGATGATATAGTTGTGTTTGGGAAAAGTGAAGTTCAGGCCAAAAGGATATTAAAAGTCCTGAGTTCACATTTTGATTTGAAAATTTTAGGTAAAACAAGAAAGCTTCTGGGTGTGGAGTTTGAATATGAGAACAATAGTGTTTTAATTCATCAGCAATTATATATAGAAGACATAGTTGATCGATTTAAGTCTTTTAAAATACAAATTACTTCCCTTCCAATAGTTAAAGGTGTGAAATACTCAAAGTCTCAAAGTCCCAGTACACAAGAAGAAACGACTGAAATGATGAATTGTCGTTATAGAAATGTTTTGGGATGTCTATCGTTTCTTTGCAATCGTACTCGTCCGGATATAGCTTATGAGTAAGATTTATATCACATTGTAATTTAATTACCTTATTCCATTAAAACTAAACAGTCTGGTGCATAATTCATGTTTGTTTTTATTGGAAATGAAAATAATATAAATTGCGTATGCATTTGCAACAAATGCAGATTCGAAATGTCTTTGTAGGCTGTATAGTTGCTTCGAGGTTGCCATTTTGAGACCATTGAAGTAAGGTACTTACATTTGGATAATTTAAGAAGAAAAACATTTCATTTAAAATAGGAAAATTTGAGATTTGTTGGATAGAAGTATATGAAATTATTGTTTTATAATTTCAGGTTAAGCCTTGTAGGCGAAAAAAGGAGCGGGTACTTTATGATATATCTGTATATTGTGAAATATGCTCAAAGAGTAGTGAGGGAGAGAAACTACTGCTGTGTGATTGTTGTGATTTAGGATATCATTGTAAGTGTCTTTCTCCTCCTCTGAAGAGTATTCCGTCTGGTCAGTGGTTTTGTCCAGAGTGCTTGGCTGTAGAAGAGAGAATGAGTAAGTACCTTTCTTCAGTTTGTTTCCTTAATGCAATTAGAAATGTAATGCATGAAATAAAAGAAGTGAATCTTAGCATTGCTAGTAACATAGAACATAAAATTATTCCCATTAATTTTAATTGGGACTGTGCGTTCAAAATTACAATTTTTTTTTGTTTTAAAGCTCAGAGTTGATATATTTTTGCTGACTTTTCTCTTTAATTCTGTAATTTTCCTCTCTTTATCAGATAAAGTTGTATATTTTATTACTTTATCAGCTGGAAGGAGAACATGTACTTACCTATTTTTCCAGGGCTAACAAAGTTCCCACTGGAGAGGACCTTACCAAAATAGAATTAGTAGCTTTCAAAGATATTTCAAAACATGCAGCATTACAATGCTGGTAGTGCTTTCTTGTAGAATTTTGTAAAAACAACATTGTATGAAATGGTAAAATTATTTAATAAGGCACTAGCACTGCACTGATATGAAAATACATAGTGTAAAAAGTGAGATGTCTTAGTTTTCATAGCAATGACTGTGATAAGATTTTAAAGAATACACCTTCAAATTAACAATTGTTTAAAGCTGTAAGTATCTGAAACAGTAATTTGAAGTGGATTCCATTAAAACTAAACAGTCTTCAAGTATAGCTTTCATTTTAAGTAAAAATATAAGCAGCTGTAGAAATATTTCTTTAAAAATAATTTTATGAAATGTACTTTAATAACATAATTTTAATTTACATGCATATGTGTGTTATTGTACATATTATATACAGGGTTCATACGGTTCTTAAAGTTCTTAGTTTTTTTTTTTTAAAAAATCGATTTTAGGTCCTTAATTTTAATCCATCTGAAATTTCTGTCTGTTTTTATGACTGCTATTTGAGTGTGAATTAGTATTTTGGAGGAATATTTTTGCCGATTATCTGACAAATATTGTTATTTTTTGAATGGGTTCATGGGTTATAATTTGTTCCCATTTTTAATATAAATGGTGGGATACTCAAGTTTCTGAGCAAAAGTGAAACATAAGCATTTTGAAATCATTTTATTTTTTCTAATGAAGAGCTCTTCTAAGAAGATTTTATTTTTTCTAATGAAAAACTTTTCACTTTTAGGGATGGGAATTCTTTTATTAAACGGTTCTAAATTTAGCATATATCAACATTTTGGCAATTTTAAGATCAGTTTCTATAGAAAATTTTTAATTCCAAGATCTGGGGATTTTTTTAATGAATTTTTTAAATTATTCTAAACTTGGTAAATTTCATTAAAATAATAGTAATACACTGGTGTGCAAAAATTAAGGACGAAGTCAAAAAATTAGCATATCAGCTGAACGAAGAGGCAGAGTGGACAAGACCATCAAGATTAAGTAGGTGAGTACGGTAGCACACGCAGATAGGTAGGTAAAGTCTGAGTAGTATAAAGCATTGTCTGTAAGATCAGTATTTCTGGCAAAGAGATTCCACGCAGTTAAAATAGCAGTTAAAATCACACCAAGTTGCTGCCTCAGTGTTGCATCAGGTTCTTCTATTTACAATAAAATTAATGTAAAATTCCTTACCTGCTGCATCTTCAGTGTTCGCAACGCCAGGCTTCTAATAATCACGTTTTCCAGTAAGAGTTTCTATTACAATTAACAGGCCATCTTGTCTTTTACTTATTTATTCAAATAAAAAGCTAATATACACTATTTACAAGGTAGGTGATAATTATTTTAAGACAGTACATTTTAATTTAGTCTGAAGTTTCGTCTTTACGCTCCTCAGAGCGGTTCCAATCTCGACTCGTTCTCGGAACTTAATTACAGCAAAAGTAAAGGAAGAGATGCCCGCCACCTAGTGGCAAGAATGTGACATCCTCCCACCTTTTGATTTTACCTCGATAAGATGGGAAAATCAAAACAAAATTTATCAATAATCAAACAAAAATTCAAGTACAACTTTCACAAATATGAAAAGTAACTAATGCTCTAAAATTAATACTTACAAAGAAGGATTACACATCTAAACATTTTCTGCATTACATTCATACCATATCCAGATAACATGTTCCAATTGACTACTGTTAGGACAATTAAATTTCTAAAATACTGAAAAGAAACAAAAATTAGTATAGCAATTTAAAAATATGTAACAGGTTTTACAGTTTTACGTCCATATCTAGTTTGATAGTTCATATCACTGTCACACTTATCGCGCAGAGTTTTTTCTGTTCATGGTGAAGTCACTAAACAAGTTAGGTCTATCAAGTTCGAGAGGATAAATACGTTTCACAGGTCTTAGGAGTTCACCCGTTGCAGTTTTCACTTTGACAACACGTACTTCGTTGTCTTTCCCAGGATATAGTTCTACAACACACACGACCTATTGGCCAATCTATTCTCTTCTTGTTGTCGCTGCCGACAAACACCAAGTCATTTTTGTTGATAGTCCGAGTAGATCGTTTAGATGGTTTTTGCACTAGGATAGCTAAATATTCATCACGAAATCTTTTGCGAAAATGTTCTCTTAAGTTCTGCAAGAACTTGTATCTTTTTGTCAGATTGATGGTATCCAGGTAGTCTAAGTCTGGTACTCCGACGTCGTGCACATCTTGTAGAAACATTGAAGGAGTTAGTGCCGTAAGATCATTTGGATCTTCTGAAAGGTACGTAAGGGGTCTTGAGTTAATCACTGATTCGATATCACAAAGTATAGTCAACATTTCCTCGTAAGAGACACAGGACTTTCCGAGAACATTTCTCAACATCTTCTTCACTGTTTGTACCAACCTCTCCCACCAACCGCCCCACCATGAAGCAGTTGGGGGATTAAACTTCCACTGTATTCTCATACTAGTTGAATGACATTCTATTTCTTTCCAATCTATCGATCTTAACAGATTTTCAGTTCCAACGAAATTAGTGCCATTGTCGCTGTAAATAATACTTGGACGACCTCTTCTGGCAATAAATCTCCTTAATCCCAAGATGAACGCATTTGTTGATAAACTTTCTATCAGCTCAAGATGTATCGCGCGATAGACCTGCGCAAGTAAAGAGCAAGATCCATGCCTTTTTTTTCTTTTCCTTAAATAAAGAGGACCGGCTACATCGACTCCGGTCACTTCAAACACCAGAGCATCTCGAACTCGATCTTCAGGAAGAGGTGCTGGAACAGTCTCTATATTCTTTGCGCTATATCTTCTACAGCGAACACACTTCATAAGAACTTTACGTACTGTTTTTCTTCCTCTCAGGACCCAGAATTTCTGTCGAATATTGGCTAGTACGAATTGCACACCAGCGTGGGATAGTCGCAAATGGTAATCTAAAATTAACCTATGAACTAAGTCATGATTTGAGGGCAATACAATTGGACAGAGAAAATTTTCTTCTTCCTCTCTTCTAGTAATCTTGGTCTTTAACCGAATAAGGCCATCTGAGTCAAAAAAGGTACAAAGGTTTCTAACTTTAAGTTCTTTGCCAAATGCTTCTATCTGTATTATCTTGCATATTTTCTTTTCTACGGTTTCTATTTCAGGGACAGTGAGTTCTCCTGATTGTTTAGAATCTGGTCTTCTGCAGTTGTTGATAAATCTGCATATCCAAGCAGTTATTCTTAACATTTTGTGGTAAGATGAATATTTCTCAAAAAAAAAAAATGTTCTACCCTTTGCGTATTTAGTGCAGAAATGACTGATTTCCTTTTTTCTGAATTCACTATTTCCATGTCCGGTATTTCCCTTTGTCTAGGCCATTCTTCCTGATTTTTCTTCAGCCAGTCGGGGCCCTCCCACCATCTAACTACTAAAAGTTGTTTAGCGGTGCAACCTCTTGATGGGAGGTCAGCTGGATTTTTTGTTCCAGCAATATGTTTCCACGTTTTTGGATCCGTCAGTTTCCTAATCTCCCTGACTCTGTTTTCCACAAAGACAGCCCAGACAATCTCTTCCCTTTGAATCCATGTCAAAACTGTTGTAGAATCCGTCCAAAAATGCGTTTCCACATTTTGCCATTGTAAACCATTTAAAACAGAAGAGCATAGTCTGGCACCTATCGTGGCAGCTATCAATTCCAGACGAGGGATCGTAATAGATTTTCACGGGAGCTACCCTAGACTTCGATGCCAACAGATGAACTTCAACTCCAGAATTCGTCACAGTTCTCAAGAAAACTGCAGCAGCATACGCATTACTACTGGCATCACAGAATGTGTGAATGCTGCAGAACTTCCTATTGTCCTTGCTGGAATGTATCCAACGTAGGAGGGATATTTCTTTTAAGAGAAAAAGGCTTTTATACCAATTCACAAAATTTTGTTTTGTACTCTCGTCGACTTCAGTATCCCAAGAAATTCCTGTTTTCCATAGGTTCTGCAACAATATTTTAGGATACAAGAGAACAGGACTCACAATACCAATAGGATCAAATATTTTGTGTGTTACAGCGAGAATTGTTCTCTTCGTTATTATACCCATTTCAAAATCTTCTAGCCAATTCAGATTCAAAGTTAAATTATCTTTCTGAGAGTTCCATAACAGACCCAATACGGGTGAAATAGTTTCCTGTTTCAAGTTATCTCCGTTATGTAACCAACCTCGAAGATTAAACTTTCCTTCATACATTATTTCTCGAGATTTTTCGATGAACTGGATCATCTCGGATTCTTTGTCAAAACTGGCAACAACGTTATCTACGTAGAAGCTACGCAAGAGTTTAGCTATTATCTCCGTATCATATGAAGAATTTTTCATGTACTTTTGTAGATGGAATTCTATAACAGCTGCCAAAAGGAAAGGACTACTCTTAACCCCAAATACTACCCTAGTATGACGAAAATATTTTCGTTTTCCTTTTCTTCCACATCATTCCACCAGAAAAACCGAAGCCAGTCTCTATCTTGAGGCCTTACACTGATCTGTAAGAAAGCCTTTTCAATGTCTGCTATAGCAGCAAACTTGCCTTCCCGAAATCTCAACAAAAAAGAGAATGGAATTAGTTCTATCAAATTTGGTCCACACTCCAAAC